GTGAAGTAACTGAATCACATAGCTCTATTAAATAATTAAAATTCATAATTAAAATTCAGTCATTGATGAACTAAGTAATATGTTTAATTTTTATTTTACTTTTATGTCAGATTCAAATGCATTCTGTACAATTTTTAAGATTAAGCTTTATGTGGTAAGGTAAAACCAGGATTTTACTCTGTGACCTTTACATTTGAAAGGAACATAAGGACAACTTGTTCAACCCTCCTCCCTCTGCTCCTTCTAAATATGGAGAGGTCTAAGGCCCAGAGAAGTTAAGTTTTTCAATAATAGTTAATATTAAGTGTGGATCAGAATTGACTCCAAAAGGAATTCTCTTTTCTACACTGTCACTTCACTCTTTTCTACATTTATCTAGCGATTTATTTTTGAATTTTTGGATAAGCTATGCCTTTACACATAATATTAAGCATTTTAAAGGCAAATTGTGCCATTTTCAATATCTGGCTGTGCATAGTTTAACTCTGGGGTCTAACTTTAACTCTTCTATTTTTTCACCGTTGTCTTTTTTTTCTTTAAGTTTGCTTCTTAGTAGAAAATTTCACAGAAGCTATTTTCCATAACAGCTTATTATTTGATATCAGATTTCTTCACTACTTGACCAACAACATGTTCTTTTTAGGCATTTCCTTCAGGATGTGTATTTTTTTACACTATAACAATTATTGTACATATCAGACTCGTGTAGTCAACACTAGAAGTTGATAAGACAAAAAGCATGAAACTGTTGGATTCTCACAATGGGGTAGTTAGGGTACAGGATTATGAATCTGGGGCTTTTTAAAACATTTTTTTCTCTCTCAGTCAGAAGCTCCAAGGTAAAGTCACTTTATCTTTCCTGACTCAGTTTCTCCACCTATGAAAAGGAGATCATAGTCCTCAGTGACTAGATGGCAGGCTTTTATTGTGAACTTCCTGTGAATCACTGGAAACATAAGGCTAACATCCTTCCATCATTGTAAAGGAGAGCTGTCATATGGATCAGTGGGGGGAAAAAACACTTGATGATTTGTAGATATCTGGGGAGAAGATTCAGGAATTTGTGGTTGAAACTTCTTAGGAAAGGAGATAGAGGGAAGGGATGGGGAGAAGAAGGGGGAGGGAGGGAGAGGAGGAGGAAAAGGGAGAGGGAGAGACAGAGAAAGAGAGGAGAGATTCTAAGCATGCTGTAACAAAGCTCCTTTCATTTGCTCCTGGGAGTGGCTGGGTGTGTCAGGTCATCCCTCAGCCAGAATGCTGAGTAATCAAGTTATAACCTTTGCAAAGTTTCAGCCTATAGGTAAGAAAAAGTACTAACAAAACAGTCTCCTAGGTTATCAAATATTTGGGCCAATGATTACTTTGCTGTACTAGGGGAAATTATTGTTTCATAAAACTGTATAATGAACAAATGAATTATTCATTCTTTAAGCTATATTTCTTCCCTCTAAAAAATCTACTCTTTTAAATATATGGTCAATAAAATGGCTTTTGTGGCAAGTAAAAGAGAGGGAAGAACATTATGGATTACTTTTGAAATTATAGAGCAAATGCTTTTTCCTACAAACAGGTATATCATTTCTCACTAAATATTTTTTAAAGAAACATTTATTTCACAAATATTAAGTGTTTGGGATGAAGCAGATGGAATGATTTTTAGTACCAATAAAGAGAACTGTAGGACAGGTAGCTGGTATTAAAGAAACGCCAAACCAATTTTAAACTTATGGGTTGAATTCATCACTATTGAAATTAACAAAATGTTATGTGATCTGACTCATTTTCAGGTAGGGTTATTTCCCATTTATTCAATCTACACCTACTATGTGCCAGATACTGTGCTAAGTTCTTGGAATATATTAATGAATAAAACAGAACCTCACATTGCTTCTGCTTAGATTTTAGCTCAAAGAGGCACTCAACAGTATATATAATAAGAGAATTGTATAATATATAGAAAACTGTAAAATCTGGTTTTATATGTGCTTCCTACAGGTTCAAACTTCATCAAGAGGAAGGAAGATCAAAAGAGCTCAAGAGTTGGCTTTTCACGAGGCCACATGAAAAGCTTTTCATGAAGCAAGAGATTAAAGATTACACATGATAAAAAGAACACATAGTCATTTTGATATTGCTGCTCTATGATTTATTAGTATGAATAGAACCATTTTCTTAAAAGTCTCATGCCTGTAAGTCCACATGTTAACATAACCGACAACATGGTTTTTTCAAGTATTTTCTTTAGGATATGTGTTTTTGACACTATAACAGTTATTGTAGATACCAGACTCATGGAAATTCAAAACTAAACTGTAGTCTCCTTGAGATCCACAACTAGGTCTTTTTATTCTTGGTATCTACCTGTTCCAGGGTCTTGCTCAGGGTCTGACACGGTGAACAAGCACTTATTTAATCAATCGCAGACTCCAATCAAAATAAGCAATTGAAATGGGGAGGCAGAGGAGAAACCCACGTGGTGGATGCAGAAGAAATTCTTGAGGCCATTCTCTCCTGAGGTTAATCATGTTCTCCAGAAACTAGTTTGAAAATGTGTGACTTTTATAATGTGAAATACTTGTATAACTCTACCCCTCCCACTGTTCTCTTTTCCAGTCTTTTTAGGTGGAATTTTAAAGAACTTAAAATTATGGATATCATGGAGAAAAAATATTGCTGGGAAATGGCTCTTCTTAGTCACATAGAATCACAATTTTTATATTCTTACTACTGAATGGGAGTCACTAATTTGCCTGAGTAGTTTGTCTTGTATTGATGTTACACTTGAAACTTGTGCATCCTTGCCTTACTTGGGTTCAATGAGAAGGTGAGAACACTCAGGTATGTAGTCTTACCTCCAGAAACATTTCAACAAGTGAAAGCTTTTGACAGGAAATGCTCTATTTAACTTTTTGTTAACATATCATCCCAGCTATGGACCTTTGTTCATGCTTTGTCCCCAGGCCTGAATGGTCTCCTCATATCCAGTGACACCACCTCCATGATCCTTCCCCACTTACTCCCACTTTGAAAGGGTCACACTTGTCTCTGAACTCCTTTTGTCATCTCTTATGTCCCTTATTATATGCTGCCAGGTACGCTAGTATTTTTGTTTCTTATCTTCTTATTGTATTATTTGCAAGCTCTTTGGGGGGACGAAGCATGTCTTATATCCTTAATTGAATGGTGACTTCAACTTTCAACTCGTCAGAATGAAAACATTAGATTTGGGCTTCCTTGGGTATTGCTGAATTCCTGTTCCTGGGAATGTTTCTGTCAGGCTGGGCAAGCACCGAACAGGAGTGTTGTAGAGGAAATTAAAAACATCGAAAGGGAGAATAGAAAAGCTTATGATTTAAGTGCGAGTCCCTTTCATTCTTTGGATCACAGACAAGCATGCAGTAGATGTTCCATAAGTAATTGTGGTGAATTAGGTGTCAATATCATGCTTCAGCCTTTTGGCCACTGTGATTATTCCCTGGGCCTTCCTGATGAATAGGCAAAGTGGTGATTGCTATCATTAGGAAGCACATGCTATGTGCCAGATACTTTATATGTCTCTTCATAATTCTCTCTCTATATATCCCATTTTACAGATGAAGAATCTGACTCTAGAGAGATTAAGCACTTTGTTCAGGATTACTCAAGCAAAGAGTCAGAGTCATTTTGCAAATTTTTGTCTCTGCCCCCAAACCTTCATCTCCCCCACGACAGCTGGATAATGTAATTTTTAAGAGGCTTTCTGCCCACATCCCCTCCTATAACTTGTCCTGCACTTACTCCATGGATACCTGAAATTCTGCTTTTGGAGTTGAACTCATTTAGTTTAGGACTTTGATCCTGCTTAATTATAAAATACCCAGGATGTAGGGGGGAGGGGAAGCTCTCAGTTAATTTTAGTTTAGTATAATGAATTGTTCTCCTTCATTCTGTCAGAAAGCATTTATTGACTACATACTGTCAAGTCAATACCAAGCTTTAGTGTTTCAAAAATGAATGAGGCTTGGCTCTTACCTTTAAAATTCTTGTAGTCACATGGAGGAGACTGTAAGATAAATAGGTTAGTACGAAACAATGTGGTAAGTGAACAATAGGGACTATTAGATGAGCACAGCAGAGAGGCAACTGGCTCAGATCTAGGTTTTTTCCTCAGATGGATTTGGCAGGAAGAGAGCAGGTCCCACTGGATGAAGGAGCTGCAGGAAGGCAGGAAAACAGGAATATGTCTAGAGCAGGCGTCACAAAGAGAATTCAGAGCAAAACTGTGTAATCCTCTGCCCATATGGCCTTTATCTCACCCAAATGGTCTAAAGACAAAAAATTTGAGCATATTGGCTTAGATGCATTAAAAACTTAGAAAATCTTTATTCAGGAGCCAGACAAGCTCTAAGTCTAGAGAAGTGAGCACTCTGCCACCCCACTAAACAATTTCTACTATCAATTGGGTATTAAATATTTTGCTAATAATGCCTAATTTTAGGTATATACAGTATATACTATATATATAGTATATATATACTAAATATATGTTAAATATATATAGTATATATATACTATATATATACAGATATATATATATATATATCTGTTTTTCTCTGTGGAAACCTCTTCTGGCATCTAGCAGACTGCGCTACTGCAGTTTACATATAAAGGATGAACATTAGAGTACTTTTTGTACCACCAACATGTTTGAAAAGTTTGTAGTATTAACTATAATCACATTTTCCTTTTTTTCCTATAACCTTTCACTTTCCGGTCCTGCGTGGGCCACTAGGGTTGCCTTTCTGTATGTTATGGTGAATGTATTTAGCCCAAAGCAGGATGTGCCGACAGCCCCTTCCTGCCCGAGCACGTTGGAGGCCTTTAGAAGCTGTGCAGACAACAGCAACTTCAGCCTGAATCATTTCTTTCAATCACGGACAAGCTGCCAAGTGGCATGAGTAAGAACTGAGGGTGCAGCGGTGGGCGGCACGGAGAGAGCCCAGGCTGGGCGTGGTCACGGGGGGCGTGGCGCTGTTCAGGTGAGCCTCCTGCTCTTTTGACCAGAGAGGGTTGTGTCTACCTCAGGTCTTTGTGCTCGTCGCTTGCCTTTTCCTTTGCCGCACGTTTTCCAGGATAACTGGAACTCCAGGTAAGCAAAGTGGGGTAGCAGGGCTGATGATTTCCCTTTTTAGGGCAATTCATAAAATAGTTGTTTGAGCTGATTCAAGACAGTGAACAAAGTGGACATAATGGGCTATTTTCAAGAATAGGTTGTTAGGCTTCAGTACTATCGCCTCCTGCCCCCCCCCCCCCCCCAATTGGCAGCACTTCCAGCTCCCAGCCCTTTGGGCACCAAGAATACCAGAGAGAGAGTAAAATCCCTTAACCATATAAGGTAAGAATATGAGGAAATAACATGCCTAGGAGGTTTTGGTGGGGGTGGGGGTGGGAGCGACAGTGATTCGTGGAGAAGAAAATATTTCTGAGGATATTTTCAACCCTACCTTGGAGCACAGAATGAATTGACAATGCTAATTTCTGAAAGTGTGTGTGATACAAACTGGAGAAAGTTGAGAGGTATTTGTGTGTGTGGCTCACCTTCCTGGTTGGCAACGTGGGGTTGAGATTCAGACTTACGAACTGCTCTTCTTTTTGGCATTTTAAAGTGTCAGATTGGTGTTCATCTCCTTGTAACTGCATTCTTCTAGGCAGAAAGTGTTCTCCCTCTGTCTCTCTGGGTTTCAGCATAGTTTTAAACAAGTTACACATTTCAGATGTGTATTCTTGGACTTTTAAATTTAGGCTGCTCGTAGTTTTTTACTCGTTGATGCCACACTTTTTTTTTTTCTTAATGGCTTCATTTAAGCGCATCATACAAAAATCCAATTTAACCTGCCAGGTGACTCCACAGGCTTGTAATCAGACTCTCAGCGCTAGAGGTTCTTGGACATGTTTCAGCCCAGCCCCCTCATTTTGTAGATGAGTAGAACTCACAGAGGTGAGTGGTGTCCAAAGTGACGCAGTGCGTAAGTGGCACAGCTGAAAGAGATTCCAAACTTGCCTCCAAACTTGCAGGATGTTTCCGTGATGCCGTGGGTTCTTGTAACATCTGTTTCTTCCCGTACATCTCCCAGGAGGCTTCCAGTAAAATCAGGCAGGTTCCAAACCTCAGTCCCTGCCAGTAAGTGCAAGTGTGAGTCTTGATGAGTCTTGATGAGTCTTGATGGGTAGAGGTGGAAGCCAGTCTGAGGAAAGGATTCTCCATGGAAAAGGAGCCAGCAGGTTTTTTTTTATCTTTGCTTCCTAACACCGTGAATTGTGCCATTTCAGTTGCTGTGGGTTGTGGATTGACTTTGGGGCTATGCAGTTTCGTGATTCTTACTGAGTCTGGCTCTACGTTTACTGTCAGGCAACGGTGAGGTGGGTCAGCAAAGGTGAGGCTTTGAAAGAAACAGGAGCATATATGATATTTCCGAAAATGTGAGGAAAGCAGAGGCTCCCCTGCCATGGGAAATTAAAGCAATTAACCTTATTAGTAGTAGCTGCACTGAACTTTCTTGCCCACAAAGCACTTTTCACATACGTTTATTGACTTACTCACTTCCTTTACCCTCATAATATTCTTTCATGCTGCAGAAGCTGTAAAATGTATTTTCTTAATCTGGCACAACCATCCATCCTCATAGACTTAGAATGTGGCCAACAGACATTGTATTTTTAGCCTTCCATTATAGCTATAACAGGCAAGGTTTCTCATGGCATTGCCTAAAGACCAGTTACACCAAATACTTAAAGAGTTTTTTTTCACCACATCTCTCCATCTGTAAAATGAGGCAGACTAGGCTACATGATATCTATAATACCTTAATACAGTAAAAATTTAGTTTCTAAGGGATGAAAAAACTCTGCATATAGCTGTGTGTGTGCACGCATGTGTATGGTTGATGGCCTGTAAGTAGGATGAACGTTGTTCAAATCAAGATGCTTGAAAGGGCCACTGTCAGGACAACAGATGTAAATCTGGACTTTCTCAGATGAAGTGGGACACATAGTCATCCTATCTCATATGGCCTTTATCTCACCCAAATGGTCTAGAGACAAAAAGTTTGAGGATTGTTGGCTTAGATGCATTAAAACCTTAGAAAATCTTTATATAGGGGCCAGTGACACCCTCTAAGTCTAGAGAAGTGAACACTCCCTGTGCCATCCCAGTACAGCATCTCCATTCATCGGGGGCTACTTGCAGCCTCTGGATTGTGTCAGTTCTCTCTGGCCAATATTTTTGCATGGCTAACTGCTACTTGTCCGTCAGGCCTCACTTTTAGTGTGACTTACTTACATGTCACTGTCTCTGAAGAGGTGTCGCTGAGGTTTCTACTATGGGCTGGCTGTTGCTGCTTGAGGGGGTCCCATGGTGACTTGTGCACCCCATCAAAACACTCATCACACTTACCACACCACTAGCCGACAGCTCCTTGGAGGCAGGAGCACCTGCTCACCTTGGATTTCTTAATGCCTACCTCAGTGCCTGACACACATTACAGACTCAGTTAATACTCGTTAGATGAAAGCAACATAATATTAAGAGTTTGCAATATCAGTGGCAGAAAGAACAAGAGCACCTTCAAGTAGTAAAATCATAGAGACACCCGAGAGAACGAATGCCAGCAAAGATGAAATTACCAGGAAAGCAGGTGGTAAGGTGTGGTGGGGAGGTACCAGGCTGGGAGCTGGAAAAGTGAATTCAGGGCTGGTTTTGCCACTCTCACTCCCTGCGTGGGTGGCCTGGGAGACTTAATTCATCTCCGTCTGCCTCACTTTCCTCATCTGTGAAATGAAGGGGTGGGGCCTGACTAGATCCTCTCCACAATCTTGTCCCACTGTAAAGGTTTATGATTTTAGGCCGTATTGCAAAAACAGGTACTCTGAAAAAAATTCTTAAAACTTCATTTGTATTACTACTCAAACTTCCATCTCACTTTTCTCTGGTTAAAATCAAATTTCCTTTTAAACTTTTAAGTGACTGAAAGATGTAGTGTTTTCTACGTTGTAACTCTAAATGAAATTATCTTATCGACTAAGTTTATGTAATAAATAAAACAAAAAATAAATGAAATTCTCTTTGTTAAAAATTATTACAGGGTTTTCATAAAATGAAAGAAGAGATCTTTGTAATCAGGTGGTAAAATGGAAAAAATTTGTAGCGATTTTTAGCATTTTGAACACAAGTCATTAGGTATGTAAATTTACCATATAGGAATTGCTAATCCCTTGCACCTGTAAGCTTTATAGCATTTGACCATACAAAATTGTCTATGTAGGAACTTGATGCTTTTTCTTGGGTGTGTATTGCTAATATTGCTGAGATTTCTTTAAATGCTTTGATTGTCTTGCAACACAGTGAGGTGGCAATTGTTACGGCCAAAGTCATCATTTGAGTTACTCCAGACCAGATCATCTTTACAGTGTTTTTAGGTCACTTGGGACTAATCATGGAGTAACTGATCAGATGTATCATGCAATATTTGATTAATTACTTAATGGGTGATTGTTTGCCACTATGACAGTTTCCATTCCTGACCTTTTCTGGCCTTTGGCCAGCATCGAACAATGCTGCTATAGCTGGAATCTCAGGCATTAAGGGCTGCATGACCTTCCCCAACCTGAAGGAGGATTTTTTGAGAAAGGAGCCAGTTAGCACATGAACAGGAAGGCAGACCTGTTTGCATTCATGCATGGAGGACTACCATGCAGAGGAAGAGACTCACTCAAAGGGAGGGTCGGCAGCTGGTGAGAAAGCCCCCTGAGAGGTTAGGTGTGGACTGATCTACATTCTCCAACAGGGACCTGGATCTAAGCCTTGAATTGCAACACAGTGTTAATTGTGTTGTGTAATTAGCTGTACTAGAAGCCACAGTGATCTTGTATTCACAGAGTCATTTAGGCTAAATGTATTCCAAAATGTTATGAGTGAATGTATAACGCTTTAGTTGAACAAAATGGTAAAATGAACATTTCCTTACCTTTTGATCAATTTCTAGAATCCATTTCTAGGTGTTTGCAAACTCTCTCGGCAGATTAATACAAGTCCTTAAACACAGTTTTTCTACACAGAGGAAATCCCAAAAAGCACAGTTTGTTACCCACTATGGAAAATTATTCTAATTTTTCTTCTGGAGAGTAGTAAATACATGCTGGGGAGAACTACTTGTGTTTGTTAAAAGACAGTTTGTGTGTTTTCATATTATTATTAGTGTAATTAGGCCTCAAGTTGTGGCAGTGTTAAGCAGCTTGCAGGGATCTGGTTTAGCTATTTCTATTTGGTGAAGAAATAGTTCATTACTCCATGTATATGAAGAGTTGTAGGTGTAGACAAACTCAGCATTATCATTGTGAAATTTGCTGCTGGAGGAAGCCAGACTTCTTATTCTGAAAGTATGTTCCACAGATTCCCCAAACCTTTTGTGAAGAGATTCCTTTAATTTCTCCAGTGCTGGGCACACTGGTTGAAACACTCCACAGGCGCCCAGCTTTGTCTCTGTACACTCTGCTGGTCTCAGTACACACCTAATGCTGGGCAGCTTCCACTGGGGTGTGAGGTCACCCCTTGGCTCCTGCCCCTGCACCAAGGAGAGAAGGAATAATGTTGTTGGCTTTAAAGAAAAGTAAGATGCCCACCCTGACCTTATGTTACCTTTTGAGAGTTTTGTAATTGGAACGCTGGCCTGAGTGCACTAGCTGTATCTATCTGGCACGTAAAGAGAAGGAGGAAGTCAGTGGAGATGACCAGGGAGCGTGAATGGGGTTAACAAAACATTCTGCTTGCTAATGAACTTGCTCAGACTTTGAGATATATTATATTTGCATCCATCCTACACATAAGCCATATATCCCATAAAAGGGAGAATTCTGAAGAATTATTTGAAGACTAGGGGCCCACTCCTAGATCTTATTCTTATGTCTTTGCACTTTGAATTTCTGTCCAGGTACAAAGTGCAAATTGCTATCCTATTCATGCATTTGACTGTAACACATTCTTGGGTCCTGGCTAAAGGCAGCTGTCTATCTTGAGTAGTGGAGCTTCCTTTCTGATGCCAGGGCACAGGTCCTACCTGGAGCCCTTCAATGTTCCATTACTCTCAATCTGTGTGCATGTGTCTGACTGTTTATGGGGAAAGCTTTGAGCCCTGGTCCATGCCCTAATCACCCAGGTGTAGTAATATCAATGGATGTCCCTGAGAATATGCTATCCTGGGGTCAGGCAGAGCCTGGAGAGTTTATGTAGCTCAGCTCCACTTTCAGAAAGGGAAACCCTGACTGTTTGAACTTAACCTAGGTGGCTTTGGAGTTAATCAGTAACTACTAGACTAAACAGGTACGGTAGACTTTTCATTAGAATTGTGATGATCAATCTTTTTAAATCTGAGGATTATTTTACTCTTCTAAAAATTACTTTGAGGATCCCATAAAGCTGTTTTTTTTTTTTAAAGTGTGTATTATATCTGTCAGTATTTACCAACTAGAAATTAAAACCGGAAAAATTTTGAAATATTTACTAATTTATTTAAGCATAACAATAATGTAATCATTATATATTAATGTGAATAATATTTTAATAAAAATATTTTCTAAAGCCAAAAATGTAGGGAGAAGAGTGACATTGTTTTCATTTCTGTAAATTTCTTCAATAGTTGGCTTAATAGAAGACATATTGCCTCTGGGAAACGCCACTGTATACCTATGAGAGATTGAGAGTAAAAAAGGCAAATAATGTCTAAGTATTATTATGAAGATAGTTTTGGCCTCATGGACCCCCTCAAAGGGCCTTAGGGATTGCCAGGAGTCAAGCAATAACACTTTGAAAGCTGCTTTATTAGAATTAAAGAACTCTGACATGTTGCCAGTTGCCCACTTGCTGCTATATCCACTTTACAAGGCTTCATATATTTTAGCTGAAGCTGTTCTCCCTTTCCTTTAACTCCCATAATATTTATTATGTCACAAATATGGCAGGGGCAGCCCTGCATTCTATTTATCTGTCTACATATCTGCCCAAAGAGAGTGCCAACTCAGAGAAGGGGAAACTCAGTTGGTCCTTATAGCCTCTTACACACAGTAGGTATGCATTAGTAACAAAACAATAACAGCTCTACTTATTAAATATTGCTACGTGCTTAGTGTCCTACTCAAGCACTACTTACTGTAGTTGTTTCCTAGGGCTGCTGTAACAAAGCAACATAAACAGGGTGGCTTGAAACAGCAGAGTTTTATTCTCCTGCCAGTCTGGAGGCTAGCACTTCGAAGCCTCTGGGGGAGAATCTGTTCCATACCCCCCTCTCAGTTTCTGGTGTTGCCAGCAATGCTTAGCATTTCTTGGCTTGTGGAAGCATCACTGCAACGTCTGTCTCCCTCAGCACATGGCTTATGCACCCCCCTTGTGTCTACATCTTCTGTCCTCTGCGCATGTCTGTTCGTGTCTTTTCTCTTATTCTCGCAAGGACACTGGTCATCCTGGATTAGGGCCCACCTAACTCCAGTAGGACCTCCTCTTAACTAGTTAGGGAACAGAAAAAACCCTATTTCCACAGAAGGTCACATTCACAGGTACTGGGGATTAGGACTTCAACATATCTTTTTAGGGCACACAACTCAACCCATAACATTTGCTAAATATTAAATTGAACCACACAAAACTGCTGCAATTTGACTGTTTTTGATCTATAAAAATTTCAATTTTGCATAGATTAACTGCAATAGCAAATGAAACAATATGTGATAAATAAAACCAGTTTTGATGAGTGCTGTCAATTCTTCTGGCCACTTGCTGAAGAAGAGGCATGACCTCTGGGCTCCGGGCAAAGGGCGCTGCGTCTGGGCAGGTCTGAGTTTGGAGATTCCAGGCAGAGCTGCACACCCAGGGGGCATCATAGACCTCAACTGGCTTGCTTGTTGAACTTACTGAAAACTCCTTCCTCTCTTCTACTCAAGATCATTACTTTGTTGAAATAGAATTCTTTAAAAAAATTTTTTTTAATTTTAGCATATTATGGAGGTACAGATGTTTAGGTTACATATATTGCCTTTGCCCCACCTGAGTCAGAGTTTGAAGTAGAATTCTTACCGTGTTGGCAGAATGCAGTTTAAAGATGTTTTAGAAATTAATCTCTCCCTTGCTCTTGCTTCCAGGCTCACAATGGATGCCCTGCAACTGGCAAATTCAGCGTTTGCTGTTGATCTTTTTAAACAACTGTGTGAAAAGGAGCCAGTGGGCAATGTCCTCTTCTCTCCAATCTGTCTCTCCACCTCTCTGTCACTTGCTCAAGTAGGTGCCAAAGGTGACACAGCAAGTGAAATTGGACAGGTAAATCCCATATCTTATTTCTTCTTTAATTCAGGATACAGTTATTAGAACCCATAGGCAGTACCTAGGGAAAAAAAATGAATGGAGACTTTGTGATCAGAATTGCTCAGGATTGAGAGTCGTGGCATTTCCAGGAGTCTTTTTAGTTTATTTTTAGATGGGAAAGTTCATTTATGTATCCAGCAACCCATGTTTAGAACAGGTATCAGGTTGTGATGGAAAACTTGGAGATCTGCCAGGTAATCATATGCTTTTAATTTTGACTTAAGATATTCTCAATTTATGATGGGTTTATCAAGATACAATCTCATTATAAATCAAGAAGCAAAATCTGTAATTTTTTAAGATTTCTTTTTGGCTATGGTTGGTTATCTAGTTTTGTAAAGTTCTTAGACCTTCAAAAGATGATTTTCCTGACTATTCGACTTAAGTCCTCATGTACATTTAGATAGTAGGTGAATGTTCTTCTAATTCCATTTCATTATTATTCTTATGGTGATTGTCCTAGTTTGAATAGAATTTTTTTTCCATGAGCTTGTAAGTATTTCAAAAGGGAACACCTTCTTTTTTTCTTTTTCTTTTTTTTTTTTTTGAGACAGAAGCTCACTCTGTTGCCTGGGCTAGAGTGCCATGGCATCAGCCTAGCTCACAGCAACCTCAAACTCCTGGGGCTTAAGTGATCCTCCTGCCCTAGCCTCCCAAGTAGCTGGGACTACAGGCACATGCCACTGGGCCCAGCTATTTTTTTTTCTAGTTGCCCGGCTAATTTGTTTTTCTATTTTTTTTAAAGTAGATATGGGGTCTTGCTCTTGCTCAGGCTGGTCTTGAACTCCTGACCTTAAGTGATCCTCCCACCTTGGTCTCCCAGAGTGCTAAATTATAGGCATGAGCCACTGCACCCAGCCATGGGACCACCTCTTGTATCCATAAATCCCTAGAAAGTATGACCCACAAAATGTTGTTAAGGTCAGAATGAAGAATTTATGTGTGGGACTTGAGGAAGCAGCTTCAGTCCTGGGAAGAGATGTATTTTCTCATCTGTTCTCATTCTGAACACCCCAACCCCATATTTCCTACTCCATCTCTCACTCTTCATGTCTTATCTCCCATTAGAGAAGGGCCAGAAAAGAGAACTTCCTGGTGGTGGGTATGTCCCTAAATAATAACAAATATATTTTCAGTACATGTAATTGATTCCTCAGCAGTTACCTGGGCTTTTTAATTTTCTGGTCTCCTTCACCCATCATTAGGAATGAGAGTTATGCACCGCCTGGGAGAAGCCATTTTGACCCTGCGATGCTGAGGCATTGTGATTCACTGGCACAACGTGCCGGTTTGGTGGCGTTACCTGAGGTGTGGTGTCAGGGTGTGGCCATTATGAGTTATGGAGTGAGGAGAGAATCACCTTATGCTGAAATCACATTTTGTGGTGCCACAAAATAGAGAAGATGCTAGACTATAATTGGTTGGAACAAAAATAAATTAGGACCAAAATAAAAGGATTAAGCCCTGCAAATAATAGTATCCTGGTTTTAAATGGCTTAAAATAACACTTTAAGAATAATAATTAACAGTTCAGTGAATCCATATGATATTTTAGGTGTTTTGCATATGATATTTGGAATCTTCATAACAACTCAGAAAAGTAAGTATCCTCAGTTCATTTTACAGAGGGGAAAAGAAGGCTCTGAAGAGTTGGACGAGATTCCGTTTCTAGAAGGCAAAGGCTGGAATTCAAAGGCAGGGCAATGTGACTCTAGACCACCCAGAGCAGCCCACCATGGATTATAGTTGCTTGTCATAAATTCATCTGGCACTTTTTAAAGCATTTAGAGTGAGCATATAGACTCTGGCTAGAGGTACTTCTGTCCTGGAATCTGATTACTTGGCTAATGATTCTCTCTCTTGGTATTAAATCTCTCTCTTCTGGTTTCTAAATTGGATAGAAATTTCAACCTAGCTTCATCTTTTTTCAGGTTTGTAAATCTTTCTGTGTGAGCGTTAAGGGAATCACTTTGAAGAAGGGACAAATGTTCCCTATTTCACAATCAGGAAGAATATCTTTATGGTAGTGTCTCTCAACTGGGACAATTTTGTCCTCCCCTTCCCACTCTGGGGACATTTGGCAATGCCTGCAGACATTTTTGGTTGCCACTAATGGGGGGAGGAGTGGTATGACATCTCATAGGCCAGGGATGCTGCTAAGCATCCTGCAATACCCAAGACAGCTCCCCACAACAGAGAATTATCAAGCCAAAAATGTCAATAGTGCTAAGGCTAAGAAGCCTTGCTTTATAGGAACAACTGGGCAGGGATATTCTGTACGTCCTGATGAGACTGGCCATTATCACGTGTCCACTTCAGTGGGAAGAGGCAGTGCTTTCTGGGTAATGGAGTTTTCTCTTAACAGGTTCTTCATTTTGAAAATGTCAAAGATGTGCCCTTTGGATTTCAAACAGTAACATCGGATGTAAACAAACTTAGTTCCTTTTACTCATTGAAACTAATCAAGCGGCTCTATGTAGACAAATCTCTGAATCCTTCAACAGTAAGTTCTTTAAAACAATTAGAATGATTTAACTTTTTGCCAGGAGTGGCATTTTTGCATTGTTAGACCTATAACTTTTTTTCAGTGAATTTGTAGGATGTTCATTTATGATGTGAGGCTTCTTAAAATAAGTAAATCCCTATGGAGAGGTTGAATACAGCAGGAATCAACTGCAGTCACATCTTCTAACTAAAAATATAGAGAAGCTTGTGGGCTTCCCTTTCCCTCTCAAACACTCATAAATCTTACCCTTCCTTTCAGCTTCCTCTGAGAGAATTGAGAACATAGTAATTAACTCTCTAACAAATGTATCTGCTTATCTATTTAGACAAGGAGTGCAAGACAGCTCATGATTTAAATTTTTTTCTCCATAAGCAGCAGGGCATATGGCCTGGAACAATGTTTTGGCTCTCCACCTAATTTGTTTAGGCACACAATGTTCTCCTTATGTTCATCAAAATCAATAAGAAAAATACTAACTATGAATCAACAGTTTTTATCAGTTACTAATTGTTTTTGTTTGTTTTACTAGGCCAGTCAGATGGAGATGTATACAAGGAAGCTCTGATTGTTTAAGTTCAGCCATTTCTTGATGAAATTATACAAAGAACACTGTGGCACCCTTATATTTGGCACCAGAGTATATCATAATATTTTTAAAATTTGTATTGAAATACATAGTCAACATTCTAGACTATATGGAGGTTCTCTCTCTACTTTAGCAATATAGAGTTGATTTAGTTCTTGTTTGGATGGTCAAAATTTCAAGCTTTCTAAATCTAAAAGCTAGACTGCCAGTTAAATATTGTATCAAAATTTTACACTTTTTGCAGTAGGTATTTGTTTTTGTGTTTGAGAGCCTTTGAGGACATGGGTTACTAGATATGGTTGTGAGTTTGTTATTGTTGCTTGAAGACATAGATACACAACCATTTTTCTTCCAACAATCACCTGGGGAATTAAAAAAATCTGAGATGTGATTTGGAGCCTGAGCATGGAAAATTTCTAAAAGCTCTCTAGGTGATCTTTAAGAAGATGATTAATACGTTTTTGTTGCTCCAGTGAGGACAATGGGGGCCCTTCTTCTTGCTGAGGCTTTCTGAGGCTCTTAGGTAGCACCAGCTCTCTCAGTCAATAGAGGCAATAGTTAGTCAGGCAATAGTCAGCCCCAAGGTTGGTTTGCAATTAACTGAAGCTAAGTTAATTGGCTGAGGCTGTAGCTGCTCTGAAGCAATTCAAGGATTCCTGTGCTTAGAAGTGAAGTGACATGATATCTAATCAAGTTACTTTCATTCAGTTTTGTTGAACTTTCACTCATTCAATGTTTGGAATTATTTCAACCAGACTAGGAGTTGTAAATATTTAAGACTCCTTTCCATTGCTCCTGTTGGTTGTATAACATCTGCAAATTTACTAGCTAATAGTACAAACTATTAGGTGGTCTGTGGAGGACCACCTGCATCAGAACTACCTGGGGGTTAAAAGGGCAAATTCTTGGGCTCAGATTTCTTAAATCAAGGTCAATGGGGATGGGATTTATGGTTTTGCATTTTTAACAAGCATTAGAATTAGAACCACTGCTATGTTCTCTACAGCACTGTGTTTCAGACTTTAATGTGCAGATGAAAACACCTGGAAATCTTGTTAAAATTCACATTCTGATTCAGTAAGTCTAGGGTGGGGGCTGAGGTTCTTCAATTCTAACAAGGTCCCAGGTGATGCTGTAAGTACCACCTTGGACCACACTTTGAGTAACAAGAGCCTATAGAGTATTTATTCATTTTAGTGAGATAAGAGTTTTCTGTTCATAGTTCTCTTCTCTGTACATTTCCTCTATTCTAATATATATGTATACATATACACATATAACATTTTAATGTTTCTGAAATTGGAATCCATATTATAATTGGGTATGTTTAACATAGTGTTTCTTTTGTTTTCCCCAAAGTGGATACTAAATTGATGGATGCATTTAATATTTGAAATTGTCTTATAATTGATAAAAATGAAACATCAAATACAAAGAAAATTCACCGATTTTTACATGAGGTTTCAACCCATTATAGTGTTACTGATCCATGGTAATAGATATTTAAGAATCCTTTTGTTAGAACAGGGCAACAATGCAATAGCTTGACTACAGACTTTAAGTACTTTGTGATTTTATGAACTGGATATTTTTCAGGAGTTCATCAGCTCTACTAAGAGACCCTATGCAAAAGAATTGGAAACTGTTGACTTCAAAGATAAATTGGAAGAAACGAAAGGCCAGATCAACAACTCAATTAAGGATCTCACAGATGGCAAGTACCCTTTATTTGTTCCGCTACAAATTCCTAAGTAAACAGATCCTCCTTTCTATGAATCCTTGCTTCAAGCATTAAAAAAAAAAAAAAAATGAACATCTTGAGGATTCCTCAGATATTTTCAGTACACAAGCTAAATTCTTGCCCTGTCAAGCCATGTCAACAACTTGTATTTTTGGGCATTTCTTGCATCATCTCATCGCTTGGCAGAAACTGCTGGTGCTTCAGTTTTAGTCCGCCTTGCCTTGATCGCCCTCTATCAGCCACAAGCCCTAGTGCAGCCCCAGCTGGGCCTCTAACAAAGTATGACTTTGGGCATATCATGAAGCCAGTTTTTCAATTTGGAAATGGAGGGATTGGACTATAACTTCATGATCCCCAACGCCGCTTCCAGATCATAAATTCTACAAACGTATGACGGAAAAAAGAACAAAAGATCTTACGCAAATATACATATACAAAAACCAAATAAACTGTAGCGGAATCTTGTCCTCAGTGCCACAGCTCCCCCTGCTGGTCGCTTCTCTGACAGTCCCGGCGTCCCTCGGCAGCACCTCGGGTCCGATCTCTGCCTCAGGGCTCCCCCAGGCGTCTCCCTTCTCGGACACCTCCTCCTTCCGTTAAAATGCCTGGGGAGTCGTCTTCCTTGCTAGAAAGGAATTGGAGCTAAGATGATTTTGAGTGCAAATCAGTGACTATGTCCCCCTTCCCAGGGGATATATTTATATTTGTGTAGGGAGGGACCCACTGGGAGAAAGCACCTAATCATGAAGGAAAGAAGCGCGCGGGCAGTCACTGACGGCTACGGAGAGATACACTTCCGGTGCAAGGGAGACCCACTTCCTGTGAGAATGACCGGAGTCCGCAGCTGCCCTCCCTCTGAGCTGATTCAGGAATGATATGGTCTGTCAGGGCAGGAATTGCAGGGTGAGGACTCAGAACGAACTCTGAAGTCATTCAAGACCTAGATTTAAATCCAGGCACTGCCACTTATTAACTGTGATATTTGGACACGGAGCCTCAATTTACTGTAAAATGGGGCATTAATTACCTGTTTTAATTTTTACGTGGTTGCTGTGAGGATCAAATTAGGTAATATATACCCACATATATATGTACACACATATACATACATATATATCGTGTACATAAATATTACTGAAATGAAGTTTCTTTGGCTTCATATATAAAGCAAAACTTTGGTATAAGTAACATCAGGTTAAGCACAGTTTTTAAAATTATAAGCAAAAAGCAGCTCCTGTTTAAATCACTGTGTAACAGGTTTGCTTTTAGAATTTCTAAATAATCGTATTTTCTCTGGAAGAGCCTTTTATATCTTAATATACTTACGGTTTTGACTGGAGAAGGTAGTTTAGTGAAAAGACTTCTAAATTTGAAGTCAGAAGCTCAGGATTTAAGCTGAAGCTTTGTCACTTACTGGCTCCTATGCTTCTTTTGTTCTTCAGTAACACTAATACATATCCAACACATCCCATAGCATTGGCAAGACCAGTTACATACATAATTTGTGTGGTTCAGTGCAAAAATCAAAATGCAGGGCCCCTTATTTAAATTTTTTTTTTTTTTTTTTTTTGAGACAGCGTCTCACTCTGTTGCCCAGGCTAGAGTGCTGTGGCATCAGCCTAGCTCACAGCAACCTCAAATTCCTGGGCTCAAGCAATCCTGGTGCCTCCAGCTGTCTCTGGAGTACTATAGGCATGTGCACTATGCAAGCTAATTTTTCTATATGTTTTTTGTTTCCAGCTAATTTCTTTCTATTTTAATAGAATGGTCTCGCTCTCTGCTCAGCGCTGTCTCGAACTCCTGACCTTGAGCAATCCACTGCCCAGCCTCCCAGAGTGCTAGGATACAGGCGTGAGTTCCTCGCCTGGCCCTCTTATTTAAAAATTTAATAAGAATTTTAAGATGGTGATAGATTAACATTAAGCCAAACATAGGGCCTTTCACACAGGAGTCACAGACTTGTGAAGTGGACCCTGAAGATTAATGTGAAAATCAGAGATTAGTAAATGAAAACACTTTTTAAAAAACTCAATTTCGTGCCGCGTGCTCACGCCCGCCTGAATCCTAAGCACTCTGGGAGGCTGAGCAGCGATGCTGCTGAGGTCAGGAGTTCGAACCAGCCTGAGCAAGAGCAAGAACCCCGTCTCTACTATCAATAGAAAGAAATTAATTGGCCAACTATATATATATAGAAAAATTAGCTGGGCATGGTGGCACATGCCTATAGTCCCAGCTACTCGGGAGGCTGAGGCAGGAGGATCGCCTGAGCCCAGGAGTTTGAGGTTGCTGTGAGCGAGGCTGACACCACGGCACTCACTCTAGCCTGGGCAACAGAGTGAGACTCTGTCTCAAAAACAACAACAACAACAACAAAAAAAAAACAAACTTAAATTCTATTCAAATATGAGAAGTTCTTTTTAGTAAGAGATTATCACCCTTGAACTATATTTGGCTGTTGGGGATTTGAACTCTATAATAATTACAGTTGTGTTTGAGACCCATGGTGATTTCAGGTGACATTGAGGCATACAGCCTACCTGCAAGGAGTGCAATTGTGGGAGTGGGTGGAGAGCTGTGGGGTGAAGGAAAGAGCCTCCAGACACGCTTTCCAGCTGAGTGAACTAGGACAGTCCTTTGGCCTCTCTCAGCTTCAGTTTACTCCACTATAAAATGGGAATAATCATCTTTGCCCTAAAGGACTGTTGTGAAAAAAGTGAGATAATTTATTAACAAATGTTGAGCACAGGGCCAGATGTAAAGCAAGTGATAATGCATTTTCATTTAAGAGCTCAGGCTATGGAGTCAGAAAGACCTGGCTTTGAATCCTTAATTCACCTTTGCTTGTGTGTCATCTTGAGCAAGTAACTTAAAATCACTGATGAGTCTCTGGTTCCTCATCTGTAAACTAGGGACCAATATATGATATCATATATATAAATATCTTGCATACTGCCTGACACAGAATAGGCATTTAAAAATGATGGCTGTCCTTCCTACTTCTTGTCCTTTTTTCTCCCTACCTTCCTTCATTCTTCTATCTTGCCTTATTTGGTAAATCTGATTGTGTCAAGGTAGAAGAAGGGGAAAGAGTCCTTTAAAATTAGATGGTCTGGGCTACCAGGCCTTACATGATGTGACTCTAGCAAGTGGTAAACACTCAGTGAATCATATGCATATGAATATCAGATATAGTTTGGAATAATAACTCTGCTATTTGTGTTTTTCTAAAATCATTGCAGGCCACTTTGAGAACATTTTAGCTGACAACAGTGTGAATGACCAGACCAAAATCCTCATGGTTAATGCTGCGTACTTTGTTGGAAAGTGGATGAAGAAATTTCCTGAATCAGAAACAAAAGAATGCCCTTTCAGAGTCAGCAAGGTATGTGGGGCAACACATAGCAGTAAAAGGATCCAAACTATAGATCTGAAAAATGATAGCAGCAGAGCGGAGCATAGGAGTTCATTCCAATGAGGGATCTGAGGGAATAGGAGGTGCCTGTCCTCGGATGAACAGCTGGGAGGTAAGAGGTAGAAAAGCAACCATAATTCAGAGACCTTCCTCCATTCATTTCCAGAATGTCTTCAAGGGCCTGAGTGAAATTTATAGAACTTATAACCCAGTGGGGAAAGCTAAATCATCAGCTAGAAAATAGCTACAAATATCTGTGTAAACTGAAAAGTAAGCAGTCCAAATTTTTCATTTTACAGACAGACACCAAACCAGTGCAAATGATGAATCTGGAGGCCACGTTCTGTCTGGGCAACATTGACAGTATCAATTCTAAGATCATAGAGCTTCCTTTTCAAAATAAGCATCTCAGCATGCTCATCCTCCTACCCAAGGACGTGGAGGATGAGTCAACGGGCTTGGAGAAGGTAAGGAGGAGGCAGGTGTTCTACGCGAAGGTGCCCCCTGGCAAAGAGATGTGTGAACAGAGCAGTGTGGGGCTGTGAGAAGTGGGGACAGCCCTGCCTTACTGTCACTGGCTCAGCAACCTCCAAGGATTCCATGGTCCTTTCTGGGGCCTTTCCTCCTTAATATTAAAAACAGCTGACATTTATTTGGCACTTACAATGTGCAAGAACTGTGATAAGTTGCCTATGTGCATTATCTCATTTAACTCTTAAAGCAGTACGAGGAGTGAGAGACTATTGCTATACTCTTATTTACCACTGAGAGAATTGAGGCACAGAGGGGTAGGTTACGGTACCCTATCATCGGTCACATAACTTCATCATGGGTAGTGCGAACAGGATTTGAGCCCAGGAAGGTTGGGGGCATGTTCTTAACTCTAGGCTTTAGAGGCCCTCTCGATATCCTCCTCTGCTGCTTAAGGCCCAACGGGAAATTGCTTATATACTGGCCAGTCCACTCTGTCTTGCAGAATCACAACCACCCCTCTGCATCTCTCCCCTTCTTTTAAAAATTAGTAGGCATTATTTTTTAGAGCAGTTTTTGGCTTACAGAAACTGAACGCGACAGTACAGGCACATTCCCATATACTCCCTCTCCCCTCCCAATCCTACAGTTTCCCCTATTATTAGCCATCGTTGCATTGTTACACCGTTGAGAGCCAGATTACTTACGACACATATTATTAACTCAGGTCCACAGTCTACCATCTTAAGGTTTCATCTCTTGTGTTGTCCATTTTATGGCGTTTTGAACAGTATACACACATATATGAGCTTTATTGATGGCTGTTCACTTTGTTGTATTCTATACCGATTAATCCTCAATTTTATTTCAGCGCAATTCAATATATCGAACATTACCTGGATTAATCAAAAATTTCTCATAACCACTCAGAGAAAGGTATTGTTATTAATCAATATGAAATAAATTCATGAATATCAACTTTTGAAACAGTATACTAGGAGATTATATTTCTAACTATGAATAGATTTTACATAGAATGCACAAAAAAATATGCAGTTTTGCCTCTGCAGGGGCGGAAACAATAATCATTTTGGTTGTCTCCAGCTACGGAGCTTCGCTCACACGCTTACTCAAACCATGCACACTCACACACAGTCTGCTGAGTCGCTGCTGTCTGCAGGTGCTGTCCCTGGTCTTCTTGCTCTCGCCACCTGGGCCTCGCCCGTTGGCAGGAGAGGGGCTCTCTGAAGAGCCAGGGATCACCTTCCAGCCTCAGTTACTTGCTGACTTTCCAGGGGACAGTACCTGACACCATCGCCCATGGGCGCTTATCATCCTTCTAACGGCGAGTGCACGCACCTTGTCATCGGAGTGATGGTTTACCCAGCATACACTTCTACTATAAACTGCATATACTAATATTCTAATGAATTCACCACACACTGCTTCTGGTTCCTTCTTCTGTTTTGTTCTCCTTTTTTTTACCTCACTCCTCATGCTTACATCTTCAGCCACTCACTAACGCTGTGCGAACTGGATTTTTCCTTACATATGAAACTACCCTCAAACAAGTGCCAATTTTCTTCTTCTTAAAGTATGGAACTACAGAAAATGATCTTTTGAATTTCAGAAAGGAATGTTTAAAAATACATATTGTATTTGTTCGGGTTGCTGTAACAAAGTGTGTCACAACCTGGGTAGCTTAAACGACAGAGATTTATTTTCTCACAGTTCTGGAGGCTGTAAATCTGAGATCAAGTTGTGGGCAGGGTTGATTCTTTCTGAGGGCCCTGTGGGAGAATCTGTCCCAGGCCTCTGCCCTTGCTGCTGGGGGTTGCTGGTGATCTTCGGATCTTCAGTGTCCTCGGCTTGTAAATGCATCACCCTGATCTCTGCCTTCATTCTCATGTGGCGTTCTTCCTGTGTGTCTCTGGGGCCAAATTCTCCCTTTTTACAAGGGGGAATTACACCAGTAATATTGGATTATGGCCCACCCTAATGACCTCTGATGATCTTCACTGATTACATCTGCAATGATTCTATTTTCAAATAATGTCACATTCTGAGGTACTTCAGTTAGGACTTCAGCATATGGATTGAGAGGCCCAGTTCAACCCATAACACATATACAATGGAGGGATTTTTTTTTTTCCTCTTACATGGTCTTTTTGAATTATAAATGTATTTTCCCCTCGTCCCACTCCTGCGTGGTAAATGGAAAATGGACAAGGAATATCCTGTTGGCTCAAAACTCTAGTTACTTATGACAGTCTTTCCATCCTAATAATTTGTCCAAAAGTTGAAACAGTTTCCATTGAAAAGTAATTATAATAGGATAGCAAGAGAATCCAATGGTTCCCTCCCCTAGTAAAAAACAAAAGAAAATAAAACAACCCAGGTTGTGACCTTGGTATGTCCCTGATTTTTACAGAGTTCACATGAGTAATGCAGGTATAATATTGCTCCAGGATAGTAAAGGTCCAGGTATTATAATTCTTGGTTGTACATGTGTTTCTCTCCTAACTAGCGGGGAGATTGCAAGGACAAGGAGCAATTTGAGATTTGCTCAGTGAAGAATTTTATGACACAGTAATTTTATGCTTCATTGCATATCTCTCATTTTTTAAACTAGCTAAAATGGATGCTTTCACCACCTATGATATTAAAGAATGATTCAGAGACAGTTCAAGTTCCCATTTAAAAAAAAATAACTTTAGCTTTAATTTAAGTTATTAAATTTGATGCCATACCTAGTACATGAATATTTTGGATTTCCTCTTAGAGAATTTATAATAAGCATTCAAGAAATCTGTATAAAAACTTTTCTCATTTTATATTCTTTTCCTTATTGTGTATGCAACACCATAATCCATGCATTTGTTTCCCTAAAGCTACTCTATAACTTAAAACAAAATAAGAAACCCCTGCCCTCATAAATTTCAGTGCAAAGGGAGCATTATTGTATGGTGGGGGGTGGGGAGCAAAGCTGGTGGATCTTACAAAAGAAACTAGTCACTTCCACAACTGCTGGCCCGTCTTTGATGGTCCATCCAGACTGCTTCAAAACTGGGCTTGTAATAAAACTTTATGTTTCTAGTCAAGCAAGATCTTTTACAATTAGAAACAAATAAAAATAATTTCTTCTCCTTTTTGTTTTTCAGATTGAAAAACAACTCAGCTCAGAGTCGCTGTCGCAGTGGACCAATCCCAGCACCATGGCCAACGCCAAAGTCAAACTCTCCATTCCAAAATTTAAGGTGGAAAGGAGTATTGATCCCAAGGCTAGTCTGGAAAACCTAGGGCTGAAAAATATCTTTAATGAAACAACATCTGATTTCTCTGGAATTTCAGAGACTAAGGGAGTGGCCCTATCAAATGTCGTTCACAGAGTGTGCTTAGAAATCACGGAAGATGGCGGGGATTCCATTGAGGTGCCAGGGTCACGAATCCTGCAGCACAAGGATGAATTCAATGCCGACCACCCATTTATTTACCTCATCAGGCACAACAAAACTCGGAACATTGTGTTCTTTGGCAAATTCTGTTCTCCTTAAATAGCTTGGTGCAAAGTTAAGTCCCAACCTCCCACTCCCTACTTTTCTGTGGATGCAGATTTCTGTAAATTCTGCATCCAGAGAATCCATTTCTAAATTCAAAAAATTGTTAATGTTGCTGGATCAGGAAGCACCCAGTACATGTCATATGTAGCCTTTGCATTAATAGGGTTTTCTTTTCCAATTCTTTCCTTTGTTTCCCTTTTTTTCCTCATAAAAGACAATGACATATGCTTTTAATGAAAAGGAATCACCTTAGAGAAAAATATTTATTTGTTATTTGGCAAACTGTCCAGGGTTGTTGGCAGAAACATAATCTTCCACAAAGAAAATTCCTATAAGGAAGATGTGGAGGATCTTATTCTCGGAGCTTTGCCTTCCTTCCCTGGGATATAGAATATTCCAGACATTCTTATTTCCCTGAAAGACTATAAAGAAACTGGTGCACGGGACCCACAAAACTTCCCTGGAGCCTAGGAAACTTGGGCACGTGCTCAGGCTACTACAGGTCCAGAACTCCTTATGTTTCTGGGAGGCAGATGTTTTTTCAAAGTCTGAATTTTTAGAATTTTAGAAAGATAATATGTCGCACATACTTTATATTATGGAACTCTATTGATAGGATCTGAGACAGTACCCTATAAATCAACACCTATATATTTCTGTAGCAAGGTATAGAATATGTATACAAAATGGATAAATAAAGACTTTAGCCCTTAAGTGGTCAATTTTTGATGCCAAATGAGTATAGCACCAGCTTGTGAAAATCCTTTTTTTGCAGAACTTTTTAGATTGTGGAATGTTAGGTAAGGAAGTAAAGACCTCTAGTAGCTAAAGTGCAAAATCCCAGGGGGAAGTTCAGATCTTATTGAAAACCGACTTTCACTTTTGATAGGTGTCCCACCTCATCATTTGATTGGTGCTAGACTGGTGGCAGGGGCTTCTAACTGACTCATAAGGTTTTGGATGTTGGACGCCAGGGACTTGAAATGCACAGGGACTCTCTCAATGGCCAATAAAAGAGTTTCGTGAATGTTGAAGGAACTTGTGTCTGTGTACTGTGATAGCGGGAAAAGGAAAGGAACCTAGTATCTTTAGAAAATATAAGTCAGGCTATGAAAGTGCTCATACTGCCTTGACACATATTTTTTCAAAGTCTATGGGTTTAGTTATTTTAGACAGCGAGTTGATAACTTACATTAATAGTAATTTGTAAAGTTGGTTTGATAAGCTATCCATGCTAAATGTTCATGTATTAATTCACTACCCAAAGAATATATTTACTGAAGATTTTGGGACATTCCTTCCCCTATCTCTTCTGTGCTATTCATTGTAAATAGATTTTTCTTGTTCCAAGGTTCCACATTGAATTTCTCCTATGCTATTGACAATAAAATATTATTGAACAACATATCTTGTTTTTTTCCATTAAGTTAGACATTACTGTTTTTGAAATAGAACCAAGCCATTCATTTACAAAAGCATCCCTGTATGTAAATGTTTTTTGGGGATTGATGTAGACTGAAAATGAGTAAGAATTATTACTGTCCCTTCCCTCTTGTTTTCCTTTCTTCCTGGCCCTCCACTCTCCTTTTTCCTCCCACATCCTTTCATCCTAGGGGAGAGAGGACCAGGGAGGTGCTGGATTGATTCTCAACCACATGACAGTGTTTAAGGAAATCAGAGGCTTTTTCACTCCAGGTCCTTTTCACTCCAGGTCCACCCTCAAAATGTATTTAATTGTATTAAGTAAGCTGTATATATTTAAAATATTTTCTTTTCTTATCAAGAGCATTTTGAGACTGAGTCCAGAGCTAGACCTTCCAACCTCTGTACTAGATGCCACCATCTTCCAACTGGCAATAACCTGTGACAAACGGACCCTGAACGCCCACCTTTAAAGAATTCCTCCCTCTTTAAAGAGTTCTTCTCTATTTAGGAGTTCCCAAATGTTTGTTTTATCCTGGAAGTCCTTTTCTTGTCAAACAAAACATCCCTGAAGTCAGAGACTGGTCCTGCAGTAATGGGCTCAATTACTTCCTTTGCTTATTCTCACAGTGACCCTAGAGTTAGGGGCTGTGCCTATTTTATGAGGAAATATGGGCTCAGATGAATAGATAAGGCATCCAAATTGGTAATGGGTTCGGAGTTGGCTGCAGCTCTGTCTGACCCCAAAGCCCAGTACTCCTTCTGCTGGGCCTCATGGCCTTTGGGCTACGCATGGGGGCTCCCTCTGGATGGCTTAGCTGTGACTCACGCATTACACGGGACCCCTGGCCACCCAGTGTTTCCAAAATGATCAACCTGTCCCTGCCTTTAAGGAAAAAACAAAACACCTCTTGGCCAGAACCTGTGCTAGTCCTACCAGGACACGGGAGCAGCAGGACCTCTTGCCTGTCTGCTGGAGAGACAGGCTGATACTGTCCCTTGCAGGACAGGGCACTTCTGCCCGAGGTAGCTGCACCCAGAAAGGTGTGAGAAGGAAGTGGGATGTCAGCCAGGCCCGGAGCCTCAGTAGGACATGGACAGGCAGGAATGGGGCAGTGTGTTCCTTGAGGGAGAACGCCTGTGCCACAGTCACCAGCTTCCCCACGCCCCAACAGTGGCAGTGCCTGGGGCTGTGGTGCTCACATCCATGCTTGCTTGTGATGGGCGAGGGTGTAGCTCAGCGGCTTCTGCTCCTCACTTTAGACCAGAGTGACAGCCACATGCAGCATAATCTGCCCCTTCGTGTTATAGAGAAATGGCAAGTTGCAGGACAGTGCTTTTGCTAAGTATTTGAAATCTGGAAGGCGAAATTGCTGGCAAACAGTGGGGAGCTGGTGCCACCTCAGAGCCGCGTGCACTTACCTAAAGGGAGGGGCCAGGCCACGGGGTTTCAGGCCTGCTCTGGGACCTTGAGGCAGATCTGGGGGAGGGGTTAGCCTTTGACTTAAGTAATCAAACAGCCCAATAACCGGGCCTCCAGTGTAGCACAGAAGCCCTCACCTAACAGGAGGCCTGGGGAATATGATGACCAGGGCTTTAGAAGCAAAAGCCCATGAATTTGAACTCTAAGTTTCTGAATTCAGGCTTTTGAAATCTCAGATGATTGTGAAATTTAGATTAAATGATATTTCAAATTCTCCCACTTCACAAAGATCAAATTTTAATAATCTCAAAACTGCCTTTGAATAATCTTTTTTTTTGAGACAGGATCTTGCTCTGTAACCACAAGTCTTTTGGTGAAATAAGTATGCATTTCTGATGTTTGTATATATGTACATAAAAATGTAACATATACATGTACATGCACATATATGGGATTGCTGAGCCATAGTTTATGCAAATATTCAGCTTTGGTAGACAATGTCAGTTTCCCAAAGCGGTTCTACTAGTGCCCCTCTATCTTTTATTATTATTATTAAATAATAATTATTAATAATTAACTTTTCCAACTATGGCTCCTACCATCACCACTGCCACTCTTGGAGTAATTATTATGAGCTGAGCATGTTGATAAACATGACATTTATTATAATTTGGCTTCATAACAACCCTGTGAGAACTTGTTAGAGATGAAAAGAACTGAAGTTCAGACACAGGACATAACAAACCTTGCTGAGCACAGATGGCTGGTGAGTTGTACGGTTAGGATTTAAACCTCAGCTCTCTCACTCCACAGTCTAAACTTTTAATCACTAGATTTGATTCCATTAAAAACTTACTTGGTGAATTAAACCGTCTACCTTCAAGGGCATATTTTCTTCTGTTTATGTTAACAATGAAATATTAGGTTAAATGGAAGACAAATGAGTGTAGATAAAATAAAACAGTTAAATGTCTACATAAAAAGTACATCTTCCATAACTGTTTACTTTTCAAATATTTCTGGTTAAACGTAATACACTTTTTCAAAAACTCTGTTTTTTTCATGGTTCTGGTCAGTCAGCTGTAGGCCCTTTGCAATTGACACCGGATGAAAAGGCTTCCCTCTTTTCGTTTTAGCTCTGGGACTAGATACCACTTGTACAACATTCTTATTCTCAACCCTGCCCACTGTCACAGAGGATTTCGGGGATGAGAACTTACTTGCTCAATGGCTTTTGTTCCTGTCACCATCCTCTGCCCAGATACTAATAGCTGCTTGAGTTTGTCAGAGCCTTTCAAAAGAAGAGATTAAAGTTTTTCACTGACCGTGAATGACTATTCTTGTCCCAAGTCCTGGAACAAAGTGAATGGCATTATTCCCATTAGTGATGAGATAGATACAGATGTGTTCCTAGAAGTTTCGACAGCCTCAAGGAGTCTTGCCAGACCCGTGTAGCCCGAACTGACAGCTCCTTCTGTCTCCACCATGGGCTCCTTCCTACCTCTCACGTAACCTGGTACCCACTCTAACAAATAGTCAACATCAACACATAGTTTTGATCAGTGGAAAATAGAGTTTGATCGCGTGGGTGAGCCATGTGTTTTTGTTGTCTTGGTTGTCCATTGGACCTAACAAGGGCTTCTCTGAAGACTTAAAACAAAACTGTTCAGTGTTTCCAAGCATGTGTCTGGAGGAATGGTACTTCCGTGGGGGACCAGAAGTTCTGTGAAAATAGGAGTCCATGGTTGAAAAAATCTTGAAAAGACTGTGTTGAACAAAGCTAAACAGATTCTGCAGCAGTTTCCTAAGTGTTTGTGAAGTTAATGTGTTTTCTGAATCTTTGGTAGAAGGTGTAGTGCTTGGTTTCCTAAATTTATGTGACCTTTAAATCTGCTAGTCTCACTGCATCTTAGAGGACTGTTGTTTAGTGGATCTAGTTTGGGGAAAAGTCAACTCACCTGGGAAACAGACTTGGGGAGGAAAATCCAGATTTTTCAGGGTGCCATGTGGGTGCTGTGGAAAGAACCCTGGTGTGGGAGACAAGAAGCCCTGGATTCCAACATCCAAGACACTCCCCCATCTGTGGCTCAGCTTCTACCTGGACATGAGGGAGGGAGGGCCTTTATCTCAGCAATCTCTGAGATTTTTCTTGATGCCTACAGTCCACAAGGCTGAGATGCATCCTCTGTCCTGAGCCAGTCCTCACCCATCCATCTGTGGGGAGCTGACTGTCACCTCCACACCTAAAAGCACAGTCAAGGGTCTGACGCTCCTCTTTGACACTGAGAACAAGGCTGGCCTCCCCGAAGTGAAGAGGCATGAGTGCTATGGCTCCCCACCCCCACTTTGGCAGGAAAATTGGAACACCTGAGGCCAGGACCCACCTGTGTCAATTCTAGAACCTCAACTTAGTGGTGAAATGACTCTTTCCCCCCCAGAAATTCCAGCAATGCTACCAACGGAGGTAGGAAGTGTAAAGGCAATATAACCAGCTGCTTCTCCCACACTGTATGCTTGTTTTTTTTCTGTTCAGCTATAAACACAGGGCTGTCTTGTTTCCTACCGTCCACCCCAGTCTTTTCCTTTTCCTTCAGGCTTTCTCCTACATGAGCACCATCGCATAGGCTGTGAAGGTTGATCCCTGCACAAGGGCATCCTATAGAGAGGCGAGCAGGGGCTAACATCAAGCTTATGCTGCCCTGGCATATCAGGCCCCCAGGGTGTGGAACTGTGTCTGAGGAAGAGTCACCTCTTTTGAATTCACAAAAAGATGCTGTATAGGCTAGCAGTGACCTGTTCAGTATTCAGTAAAACTTGCAGAAGAAATAAAAGCATCATCACATCATTAATATTACTATCATTATTACCATTGCTGACATCATCATCATCAATTCAATATTTTACTTTGCTAAGATAATGATCCTATGTAAAATTAGACCAATTAAAAGTAGGTAGATTTCAGGAGCAAATAAGCTGATGAGAAGTAGGTCATGCTTCGGAGAACACACCTACCCTGGGATAGAGGGCTGGGGAGGAGCCCTGGGCAGCTCACAGCCGGCGATGTTGCAATGCACATTCTGTTTGCTGTGATGACAAGCTGAGACTGCACTCTTTGGCTGTCACCCTGGCCTTCACCTCAGACTGCCTGTGGTCCAACAGGGGTAATTATAATACCATCCCCAGCTCCAC